TAATGTATCGTGTACTGCTCGGTTACCAATGAATAGTTGAGATGCTGCTACTTTGCCGACGCAGCTATATCAGGTTTTCTGTCTTTTTTCAGTTATTCGTCTTCAGCTGTTACATGATAGCCCAGAAGATCATTTTTCACCCAAAGGATGTCGATAAAAGCCACGCGGAATAATTCTTATACTTACAGACTCTTTACCCGTCTTCTGCGGACTAGTCATTTTAGAGGAAGATCCAACTAGTCCCAAAACACTCCTTCAACGGTATGGCCGGCCGATTCAACTACTTGAGTGAATGGACTGATGCAAATAAACCGTAGCCTGGATACCCTTCTGTGCCGCCAACAACAGGAATATTGCTGGCGATACAGAAGGGAATCCAGGCTACGGTTTATTGACAGCTATTCCAGGTATCTAGATTCACGAGTACAACCGGTAACTGCCTCGCCAAACCCTTCGGAAGACAGTAAAGGTAGGCTGTACTTCCAAGTAATTGGTGTACAACAAATTTCTCACTTTCTCCCTAAATCAGCATTTTTAAATCAGTTTCTTGGGCGTGTAAAAGAGTGTCAACCTCAGCTCTGTCTCCTTTGCCGTACTTAGCAACATTGAGCCAAACAGATCTTCTAAACGAAGAAACACATTCGTACTATGCTGTGCCATTAAAACAAGCAAATACACGTTGTTTAAGTAATGAGTGAGATCAAAGATCTATAAAAATCATTCAGTCGGTCTTGATGCATATTAAAAAAAAAAATTACTTGTTTTGCATCTTCAAAAATCGAATGATTGCAGATGTCTTGTACGTTTGCCTGTTCTGCCAGCTTTTGGGCAGTTTCAAAATATCCCCCTCGTAGCAAATATTCAATAATTAGCCGATAGACACGTTGATTGCACCAGGCCTCCTTTTTCATCTTATCACTGGTATAACTCTAAAATGAATTCACTGGAATAGGTAAAAAAAAGCGTGGAATGGTGGACAAGAGGAGCGGCCTTGGCTAAGGACTGACTGACAAAAATGACCTTAAATCAGCAACCAAAACATGTCTGGAAAAGTCACAGAATCTTCGGCGGAGTTTGGATGGTTGTAAAAAAACACGAAATAATGACAATTTCGATCAAAAGCCAGTTGGTTTGGATATAGAATTATCTGTGGATTAGGTACTGAAGGAAAAGTACTGTGCTGGTAAAAGGATACGAAAAGATCACTTTGTCCCAACCCAGAATATGACCCTAAAAGCTTCATTCTCTGCACCATCAGAAGGATAAAAAACCTCAAGAAGGATAAAAAACTTCATTCGGATTAGTAAAGAATCGATTTCACTCGAAAGAGGGATAAAAAAACCCCAACTTATTCGGATCAGTAAAGACTTGATATTTTTCACAGACCACACACATGAAGACTGAATTTGAAATTTTTTAGTTGTACATGGGCTGGGGAAATCCCCTTAAAATTTCAGCCTCCCAGCCTTTCTGGTTTCCGAGCTAGCAATTTTCCAGCCATAACTTTCGCGTGCTTGTACGCAGATTCAGACGTGCACAAAAGCAGTTAAGACGTAAAAACCGTACCTGTAGCAAATATTCCGCTCTTTTATTCAACAATTTGCCCATTTTGATTTCGTTTTCAAAGCACACACGATAGTTCTCCTTTAGTTCCTCGAGTCGATTGAAGTATACGGCTAGTTTTTCCTTCATCTAAAATTTAAAAAATAAATCATGGTGATTTTTTTTGCATCACATTAACTGTAGAATTGATTTTTACAACCAATGCACTTAGCAACTGATCAGCGCCGAAAAAGGTAAATGTTTTATATCAGTGGGGATTTACATGTTCGGCACTAGCAGCACATTTCATGCACAACCCCAATGTGTCACTCAAGCCAACGAAGTCCCGCACAAAAACGTCAGACTTTTTTTTCTGCTGGAACCAGCGACGCCGGAACGCTAGACCAGCAATTCGGATGGTCTCTAGACGACCAAAAGAAAATTTTTTGACAAAACTTTCTTAAGAACCCCTTCAAAAGGCTTTTTCAGGAACACCAATGCGGGGCCAAAACGCCCAAGCATTGTGAGTTTTTCCTGGTTTTTTCCTGGCAGACATCCTTCCGTGCTTTTCATTTTTCCGATTAAGCACATTTGGCAAGACAATTTTACATTTTACAAGCTCTGTTAGTAAAAAAAGGTAAATGACCACTCGGACGAGCCTGGAAGGGGTAATACAAATAAATCGGTGGTTATGAGCTAAAGATATGCAGTGCAAGGGATCGGACAATCGGGCAAAGTTGCACCTGGCGTTTGGGAGCATCGCAGTAACATCATTAACATGGGATACCTACACTGTGATGATCGAGTAGTTCTGATATTTTTTGTGATGCTCGAGTAGTTTTGGTATCCTGAACGTGTGGCAAGTCTGCATGTCTGACAGTATTTCATTAAATGCATTCATAGGTGAGTCCAGGGCGGCCCCTGCAGGGAAGGGGGGATAGAAAAGGGTGGAAGAGGAGGCGACGCATGGGGCTTCTACTGCCGACGACCAGAGGAAGGGGAGGGGGGGAAAGAGATTTGTGAGAGGGGGAGGGGGAGTGAGGGTGTGAGAGAGAGTTTTCTTCAGTTTTAGCTTTAGACCCACATTTTTGTAGCACTGGTGCCTGCACCACTGGGGGAGGGGGAAGCGAAAG